CGACGCACGCCGCATCGAGATCCCTCTGCAACGGCTTGACATTGTGGCATGGGGCCCGAGCTGCGACGCAGCGGCAATGGCGGGCGACCGTGGCTCCGGCCTCTCGACGGTGGTTTCCGGACGCGTTTCAGCTGGCTGTTGACACCGCCCTTGTCTCCCTGCCCATCGCGTCGGCATCAGCTGCATGGCGCTTGGTTCGCCCGGCCAAAGAGCGGGTACCCTGAGCTCTGCTGGAGCGGCCTGGCAGTCCTAGCCCCGAGGCCACAACGTTCATTCGCCAGCACGTCGTTTGCAACTGCACGAGCAGCAGTGGTCCTGAAACAACCGTCCAGCGGTCAGTATCTACATGTGAAACAAAAAGCACTCAAAAAGCACAAGAAGATGCCCAAACTCACATAAATACGAAGGGACACAAGACGTGTCAAATACTACTCCGGGGTTCCAAACCCGCAAGCAGCGACCGTTGAGCTTGGCAAATGCTAGCCACAAAGCTCACGAGCCTTCTGTGCCAGCCTGCGAAAACTGGCAACGTATGCAACGTCGATGGCGACGCGCAACCCCTCCGCGATTTCTTGGCAGATGGAGCTCGGCCACGTGGCTGCTTGTACATGCTTGTACATGATTAGGAGAGTTTTTTGCCTGAGCCCTCAATGGGCCCCCTCCGCGCCCATCAGGCCTGACTCGGATTCATTGGCACTGACGGCACGGCAGCCAGTTTGATATATGCCAATTTCCGCCGCCGCCTGGCGGCGGAAAAAGGCGTTTTAAAAAAAGGTTACGAAGCATCATTGGATGGAGTCGCGACGAAGCACCGTGGGAGGAGACGATGACGCATGAACGCTCGGGCATAGCAAGGACTCACGTCGCCGCGTAGCCGATGAACATCCATGTCCCGGTCACAGACAGTTGGCGCATTGAAGTAGACACCCAACCATGGTGTGCTGTTGACGGCGCTGGTGTGACACCTACCGCTGCTGCCGCCTGGGCGTCGTTTGCATTGAGGTCGGGGGACGCTTTAGGGCCGAAGCGGCGATTCTGCAGCGTCTGCTCGCCCGACAGCACGCCGCTGCTGGCTAGCCGCGCAAGTTGCGCGATGGGCGGTTGCCGTCTTAGCGCGTTTGCGCGAGCTCTTGCTCGAGTTCCCGCTCGCGCAGGGGTGAAATCAGTGCGGCTTACTGGGCATTTGGGGCCAACACGCTGCCAGCGCTCATCAGCGCTCGCACGTCGAGACACCCTCCCTTCGCTCAAACACTTGCGCGCTCCCTCGCCGGCCCCGGCCTTTTGCCCCCCCGCCCTGGAAGCCACGGCGATTCACGGCGTCCTTGCAAGCTGCAGGCTTCGAGGCCCGCCTCGTGGAACGCCGTCCTAACGGCTGCTGCCCCACCCGCTCCAGCAGAAGACGACCCCACTGACCTCACAGGCGGATGGCAGCGCCATGCATCGCAGGCGGTTGACGACTTTTGCCAGCGTGCCAGCCGCAGAGACGATGCCGCCAGCCTGGCCATGTTGGACTCGCAGTCGGGGCCCCACGCAGCGAGCGTGTTCACAACCCGGCCCGTCTCGGCTGAGCTCTCCCTCAGCTCGCCACTCTTCCGTGTGCTGCTGCTCCGGCGACTCCGCCTGCCACTCGGCTGCCTATGCTCGGCACAAGGAATCCTATCTCAACACCGCCCAATCTTGCGAGGGGGAAGGGGCGGTTTTCGTTTCCATGGTCATGGAGACCACTGGGACTTGGGACAAGGGCGCAGCTACTGTTTTGCAGCATATTGCGCGTGCTGTGGCGTCCCGTGTGCACGCTGCCTTGGTCCAGGAATTGTGCGTTGTGGCGCGACTAAGGAGCCATGAGGAGACGATTGGACTTGTGAGCAACGTGGCCGGTGGTCCTTCAATAACTTTTGGGTCCGTGAAGCTCCTTTTGTTACGGCCCGTGGGCATGCATGGCGCGGGAGTTCTCGCGGGACGCCGGAGACTCGTGCGGGTGTCGGGGCTCGCCCTACGGCCCACCATGTTCTCTGCCTTGATGTCAGTGTGGACGCATGCTGCATCACTGCTGCATCATTGGGTGTCGGACGCAGGACGTGCGAGCTGCTTGAAGGGTAGCGTTGTACGATGTTTTCGGTCCAGTTTTGGCATTGCCCTCAGAAGTAGGCGCGGCTTGGTACTCCTGCCGCTGTCTCAGCAATGCCAAAGCATGCTTGTTTCCTTTTCCCGTTGTCCAAAGCGTGTGGTTTCTCAAGCCCAGTTCAAATTTGAGGACTGTGAAGCCACAAGCGCACAGAACCTGCCCCTCACCGCTGTGCGGTGCCGCTGCCGGCAACTACATGACCCTTTTGCAGCATGTCCTCGGTCCGGCATCCTTCGCCCCCGGGGTGGGCCACTCGAGCGTGCTGCGGCCCGCATCTGCCGAGAGGCCGGAGCCACGGTAGCTCTCAACCTCCGGCTGCGGAACCTGAATGTCGACGTCGCCCGACAGGATGAACGTCGCATTGAGGTCATCGCGGTGGCTCACAGTTCGCGGTCGACACCACGCTGGTCTCCCCCGCTGACTTTGGCACGCTTCCCGGAGGGCCGGCGGACGCACAGCAGAGGCCGCACTTTCACATGCACGCAGGGCCCTGCAAGGCGAAGGAACGCACCTGAGCTCCGGCCATCTGCAAGGTGCAAGCTGGTCGTCCTCGCCCTTGAGCTCGGCGGCCGTTGCAGCGCCGAGGCCGCGACCTTTGTCTGTCTTCTTGCGCGCCTCCGCGCTCGGGCCCTCCCCGCCTCCTCCCTCGGGGCTGGCATTTCTGCCCGCCCGCGCCTTCGCAGCTAGCCTCCTCGCCTTGCCTCTCTCCGGCACGGCCAATGTTGATGGTGAGGCCCGTTGCTCAGCGACATCGTCGCTGACTCTTTCCAATCCCCGCCCCTCGCAAGCCGTAGGCCCTAGGCCACTAAGTATGCGCCGGGACCGCTTCGCCTGGGACGTTGGAAAAAGGCGCGGAGAAAAAACATCGCGACTCCTGCACATGAAGTTGGCTGATGTGAAGAGTGCAGCCGATGTCGCCCGTGAAGATCGATCGCACCAAATGCTGCAAAGTGCACTCTTTAGCCCTGGGAGTGTCGCTTCTGGCGACCACGCCTGGGCATGCACTCGCACCGGGCTGCTTGCTCGCAGGGCGAAAATAGTGGAACTGGCATGGGTGCGGGTGGCTCGGGAGGCCGCCCCCAACCGTGGCTAACGCACACAACCGCACCCAACGTGCGCTCCGACGACCGGCGCCGCCTGGACCTCGTCATTTACGGCGCGACCCCCCTCAGCGGGGATTGCTGAGACGCAACACTGGTTTCGCCGCTGTCGCGCACAGGCTTGCCCCGCCGCAAGCGAGCCGCCTACCCGGAGCTGAACGCTGGCGGCCTGCAACAGCTCGTGGTGTTGGGAAGTGAGGTTGGAGGACGCTGGAATGCCGGTGCGCAGCAGCTGCTCCGGGCGCTGGTCCGGCTCCGTGCCCAACGAGCTCCTCCAGCCATGCAAAGCGCTGAATGGCCGGCATGGCCCGTGCCGCTCCACGCGAGCAAGCTGTCGGCCCCATGGCTGGACCGACCTTAGTTGCTTCGCGGCCCTTAGAACGCCGTAGTATCCGTAGTGTGGGCAACTATGCACAAGGCATACGGCAGGAACCTGCCTTGGGCGCTCGGCGAGCAACTCCCCCAGCGGTAGCTCCAAGTCATCCCCTGCGTCACACGAGCTCTAGCAGCGTTTGTTCGTGTGTGATCGTGTGCGCGCAATGCTGCCAGTGATGCGAGGCAATGCCACCGCCACCCGCCACGGCAGCAATCCACGGCGCGCTCGCTCGTCCTCGTGCCCGCGCGAGCGCGTTGGGGCTGAATATCTTAACACGGCAGCCCTCTGCCGAGACCAGGGGCTGCAGTTCCAAAAAAACAAAAAAGTTCCTTGCGGAATCATCTTGTGGTGGCTGGGGACGTGAAGCAATCAAGGTCTGGCGCACACTTGGCCGCCAAGTCCGGTGATGGATGGGGTGCGGCCACCGAGCAGCTCTTGCAGTGCCTCAGCGTCACGCTCCAGCGTGAGAACGCCCGTGCTGTCCTGCGCCGCCTGCCCGAAGGAGCGCAGTCCGCCTCCACTCCGCTGCAAAACCCGTGATCCTCCCAAACCTGCGCGCCCCTGAAAGAGCGGGCCTCTGCCCTTGCTTGACCTGTTTGCCTGGCTCTTCTCGCACCTGACCTCTGATTGGGCTCGTCAAGCTTCCTTTGGCCTCCGCTTGGGTCCGTCACGCCTCTTGTACATAGCTTGTGAAGTATATAGCACATGCTGCTACGGCCCATCGGCAAACATGGTGCTGGAGCTCGTGCGGGACACCGGAGACTCCTGCAGGTGTCGGGGGTTCGCCCTACGGCCGCCTTGCTCTCTGCCTTCTGATGGTGGAGTGGACGCATCCTGCATCGCGAGACTCTCAAACAGGTTCGACGCGGGGCTTTGGCCGTGCCGCATTCTGTTGGTCATGTTCACAAGCAACGTAGCCCCAAACCCTTAACCCAATGAGGTTTTAGGGTTGTTTACCAACAAACTTCCATGTCGGTGGGGCTGAATCGTCCTCCGACTTCCATGCCGAACACGATGAACCGACGACGCCCTGGCCCGCCAGCCCGCCGTTCCGGGTAGGCATGACGCGGTACGCCGCATCCGAGGTCGGCACTGGTGGGGAGTGCTGTGAGGGCGGAGCTGGCGCCATCCCCCCTGCGACAGCAGCAGCGCACGAGACGCAGGATCAAGGTCACTGAAAAGCGTTTCGAACGCGCGCTGGTCGACAGAGGCGCTGGCGGCCAACCCTTTCGGGTCGGTGGACCGGCCGCTTCGGCAGGGTGAGCGCGCGGCGGCGCTCCCTCGCACAACGCAGCCCATGCCGGCACGTCGAGGCCGAGCGTTCTTAACAGCCCGGCCGCCTAATGGTTCGCTTCGGCCTTAAGCATGCGAACGCGTGTAACGGCAACACACGGAAACAATGCTCCACCATGGTCGATTCGTGTTGGTGCTAGTCCCTGTGTCAGCTCGTTGGCGACCGTTTCAGTGCTTGTTGTGGCCCATTTTTCTTACCCGGCCACGTGAGCAGCAGTTGCCATGTCAGGTTGCTCCAGGTTCCATCCCGGCGGACCTCGTTGCAACTGCTGTTGGTCAGAAGGCACGGTGGCACATTTTTCCAAAAGCATCCTGCAGCTGTCAAGTTTATGGCAATGCTGCTTGGACAACGTAGACACGTTTGGCTTCGCGACATGTCAAGGTCACAACCCCAAATGGTGTTGTTTATGAGCCCCTTGAGCTGGGTCTGCTTCTTAGCAAATGTGTTGGGTAGTTTCTTTCCGCATACCGAGTTTATGTGCATACGAGACCATCTGAGGTACATCTGAGACGGGCCCAAGAAATGGGCCACCACGTGGAGGAGCCAATCTTCTGCTCAAGTCGCTCGGCTACTTTTGCCACACTGCTTCGCCACATTTGTGGAACATTTGCTTTCACGAACTTCCTTCTCTCTCTCTCTCTGGTTTTTCTTTTTCCTCTCTCTCTCTCTCTCTCTATCTCTCTCTCTCTCTTTTTTTCTCTCTCGAGGTATGCAGCGCACATCCAGAGCTTCGATGGCCCTGTTGTAGATTCGTCGACGTTCAGAGGCTCGTCCTGGCCCCGGACAAAGGCTTGAGCTGCATTGGCAAGCCCTAGAAGTACTGATTGTCGATGTGATGATATGTGACATGTGATGTTTGTACTGCTGAGGCGCAAGCCCAACAAGGTCGACTATGTCGAATGCAGGCTAAACGTTGATATGGCCTCAGCTTGCCATGGAGCCATGGTTTTGACTTCCGCCATGCAAGATGCAGCAAGCCTAGGACCCTTCGCTTCCAAATTGTCTCTTCGAAGTCCGGCCCTTGGCCCTTGGTTGGCGGATGTTGGCCGGCCTTGTTTCAAGAAAGTAGGATGGTGCTCAGGGCAGACCCTAGGCTGGTGGAGAGTTAGGCGCCCCTCGACCTACCGCGACTCCAGGGTAGGTTTTATTTTATATCCTACGTGAAGAAAAGCAAAAAAACGCAAAGCTTTTTTCCTTGACGCGTCGTTGTCATTATAGTCACAGTACTGTGTAACTTTTCAAAGATTTTTCCAAATAGAACATAGGGAAGTTGAGGGTTAGAACGACAGAACGCAAGAAGAAAGGAAACAACGGAAGAAGAAAGAAACACTTACGGAAAGAAATAAGAAAGAAGGAAGGGCCGTCCAAATCCGTCCTGCGAGCATTGTGTTTGACATGGAAGGCCTGCCCCCCGGCAACCCCTCCGTTTTTTAAGCCTTGCAAGCCTTCTCTATTAACAAAGGATCATGCCATTAGGAGGACTTGCGCTGAGAAATGATGCTGCCGCTTCTGCTGCTGCCGCTTCTGCTGCTGCCGCTTCTGCTGCTGCTGCGGCGGCGGCGGCAGCCTGCTGCTGCGACGAACTTTGATAACATACAGTACGTTTAAAGAGGCGCCCGGGCAATATTAATACTATAATACTAATGATGTAGTTCTCACGCACTCTTTTTATTGGATTACAAATGAACGCAGTGAGTGCGTGAATACAATAATAAAGAGTGAGAACGAAACCACAACTGCAGGAAATCCACCAATCATAACCTCTTCACTTAGTATTAACCGGGTGAACAAGGGGTTAATAGCGTACTAAAAGCCCTATAAAAATACTAAATTATAAGGAACCTGTGACGCATGAATTTAGTATTTTTTAACAGGCTTTTGGGGAAGTGTCTGTAAGGTTGGGACACAAGACCCTGAGAACTTGGATGTAGAACTCAAGCCTTTGGTAACAGCCTGGTGATTGTACTTCGTTCCCTTGTTCGTTCATGTAATTCACTTTTGAATACTGCCGACCGACCAGATTCAGGAAATCAAAGGTCAGGAATTTCAGCTCTGTGCCTTAATCTTGCAGGTGGGTCCAGCCACACTCCCAGGCGATAACAAGAGTCATGAATGGTGTTTTTCCCTTTTTCTTTTCTCTTCTTGTTAAGGGCGCTTTTGGGCACAATGAGTATTGCTAAGTTCCCGACTATTTCCGACTGCATCAGGGCCTCGCAACTAACCAGTACGCAATGGACAGTCACGGCTGAAGTTCGCACAAACCGTCACAAACCAAGGCTGTAAAGCTCATGAAGGTTGGAGCCAAAGGCGGGTCTGTTTTCTGCATGTGGATATGGCCAGCTTATGCTGCAGCAGGTCGTGCTGTTTGCCCGCCTAGCTTGAGTTATGGCTGTTGCCTCAGATGTCGTGAGCACTTGGTTCATGACTCTTGGGCGGCTCAAAAGCAAAGCACCCTGTGGTGAGAGTGAGCTCTTAGGACTCATACCTTACTCACGTCGCCTAGCGGCATGGTGCACGCTGAGGGTAAGCTCACGTTTGCTTCGCGAAAGAAGCCTGCGCAAGAACACGAGTTATTCTGGACAGCGAGCTGAGTTGTTCGCAGATTGCGCGTCCGAGTTTTGCACGATGTCTTCTCAAGTTCAAAAGTGTGAGGCTCCACCATTTGGGCCTTTTAAGGAGCCAGCGCTTGCAGGGATTCTTTCCACTTACGCAACCAGCCGTATAACTTGCAAGATTTGCATCAGTGCTGAAATTGCGGCTGCTGGTGCTTTCCCCAGGCGAGGGCAAGGTGGCCTTTGATGCTGATGAGAATGCTGACGTCAAGAAGGCCCATGCGAAAGAATGCGTATGAGTCAGGTCGTCTTGCGTCGTTCATGTTTGGCCAGGTTGAAGCAGGCTCCACACTTTATTACGACTTGGAGCTGTTCGACTCCCAGCCGATGAAAGCCATACCGTGTTTGACTGTGTTTTAGGTTATGAGAGTGCAGTCTGAGGATTCGCATTATCAAGCCCTGAGTTGTCTTCATCCTCTGTGCATACCGTGCCGGTCGACTTGAGCTGCACAAATGCAGGACGCCTCTGCAGAGTACGTTTGTTGACGGTACCGTCATACTCTGTGCTTGCTGTGCTTGCTCCAGCATCTGCTTGATGAACCGGCAAGCGGCTCACAGATGGGGAAACGAAATTAAATCTGTCGGGGTGCCAGAAAAGTTTTTGCCAACATCAAGAGACCCAGAGCCTGTCCGTAGCAGTAGTGTGACATCTCGGAAATACATCACTCTTCTGAGTCAACCCGCTTTGGAATCCTGATGCTCTGCTGAACAATGCACTGGAACCCTCGAAAATCGATCGCTTGAAGCCTGTCTGTGTAGGCGCAACGCATCAGAAGCTCACACGCTCATGTTTGCTGCATCGCATCGCGCCTACACCTGCAAGCTAAGCTGTCGAAGCCGCAATGGCGCCAGCCACTGAGTCATGCTGTCGTCAAGGCCTATATAGATAGAATCTAGAAACTGACTGGAAACTGACCTAGGACACAAGGATTGCATCGCTTCCAGCAGAGCGAGCGTTCCTTCAGCAGCCCTGGGCGAATGTCACTTCGCGCAGGCTCGATTTTTGGTGGCACAGTCACTATTTTCAAGCAGCCCGAAAGCCACCACAGGCTCCCGAACAGCTTGCACATTCAAACTTGGCTCTGCAAAGATATCGTTACTTTGCCTGTCGCGCGCGGATGCTGTGGCTGCATCTCACTCGCAGTAGTGCCAATTCACGAGGCATCGATGCAGGGCAGATCAGGGCAGTGTCAGCACGGTTGGATTAGGCAGGACACGCTGAGCACAGGGAAGGCAGGCACGATATAAGAACTTCGAAGCATTTGCAGCAATCTGATATTTTGCTTCGGGGCGTCATGCTTCGAAAACGTGGCCTGGCAGCCGTGGTGGCTTGACTGAATTCATGACAAGAGTTTAAGTTGAATCGGAGAATGATGTTTGCTTTGGCGTGCGGGCTGTGGTGAGACACATGCGAGGCATGTTTGCTGGCAGTGACTGGCCTGGCCTGCCAACCGCTGGTGTGTCTAGTTCTGGGTGGATGGGCTCAGCAAGGCGCTTTGCATCGAAGGACTCGCTTCGCAGGTAGCGATGTTTCAATACGCAGGCGAAAGAACAAGCCCGCGAGTGGCCCTGGGAGCATCACTTGGGGAGGCGGGCAGTGAGTGAGCAGACCGATGTGAAGGCCAGTGACAAACCTAGTTTCCCAACCGACAAGTGGGGCTGTTAGATTTCAAGGACAACACGGCACACATATGCACACATCATGTGTCGCACGTCAGGACAGCAGGCAGGCCAGGGAGGGAGGCCCAGGCACAAAGAAGATTAACCAACCCAAGGACAACGTACCAGAATGTTGCCTTTACAATGTCTATATAGCAATGAGGCTCAGGCGGACAAGGAGGGCTACTGTGCACTGTCCTATCCCCAGCCCACCATACCCGTCGAATCCCCGTCCTAAGCGCGCCGCCAGCCGAAAAGTATGATTTTTCGGGCGCGGCATCTTGATACTTTTCCCACTTTTTTCGCCCTTTCGCGACTTTTCGCACCCTTTAGTGGCTTTAGTGGTGCTACCCTTGTGGTACTTTTCGCGCTTTTCGGGACCGTACGGCTTTTCGCACTTCTCGATTTTTCGCGTCTTGGGGGGCTGTCCGTCCTCTCCTAAAGCAAATATCATGCAGGCTGTTCAGGGGGAGGTTGCTGATGTTCGAAGTGGTACTTGTACACTTGTTGCTGCAAGCAGCTCTCGCTGCCAGGCGTTTCAGCTTCCGCCAGAGAAAGTGGTAAAGGCATGCTGCAAGCCATCAAGCTGAGATTTACAAAGGAGATCCAAAAAAGGAGATCCCTTCAAGATTTCACATGCGCAGGCCGTATCAAAAGCAGGACCACGAGTGACCACATCTGATGTTGCCGCTGCTGGCGGTCTGAGTCTGGAGGAGGCACAAAGAGCGGCAGAGTTGCAGCTCCGTGTGTTGTTCAGAAAAAAGCTCATCTTGCCAGGCGCGCAAAGGCCTGGTAGAGCTTGCTGGTGCACTGGGGGCAAAAGCCGACATTGAGGTTTCCAAGACAGGCAGAAGATGCACCAACGGTTGTGCTTGGGAAGCCCGTCGGTCTGAAATGTCTGGAAGTGTCTCGAGATTCGTCTCGAGGTGAGCTCGTTTATCGCTTCCCATCCGACGTGAAGGGGGCATTGTCAAAGGCTTCTTCAGCTGCAGCAGCTCGGGAGGTGCGGACAGTGCAGACTTGTCACATCTTGATCATCTTGTCTTTGGGCACCGCATATGGTGACATTAGATGACCTTGTGTGGACATTTTCTGCAGGCATGGAACAAAGCCAAGCCGACCGCTACTTGGCTTGAGCTTGAGCATGCATCGAATGCATCGAAACCATGGTTGTAGGTGACAGTCAGCTCGAGGTTTTCACAGCACTCCGAGCTGCTTTCGGTGTGGCTCTATTTGCTTCTATCGCTGTCATATACACAGCGATCATTGCTATCAGTACCTCCAGCTCAGACCGGGACCGTGCAAGCTGCTTTGGATGTGCTTCAGTTTCACCATGCCCGAGCCATCTCCCGTATGTTTCCGAATCATTGTGCAATGAAGTCGCCTGCATTCGTGTGTTCGTTTCCGAGAAGCTTCAGTCAAACCTTGGGCTCCCCAAGCATTGTGGACAATGTAGGTGAATATCGCGAACCGTCTGTTGGCCAGGAACCACCAGCGAAACAAATAGTATGCAGTAAAGCAAACATGTCTAGCTTCGGAAGCCAGATGTTCATCCAGTAAGGAATGCTGGGTCTGACACACTGCTGAGCAGACATTGTTGACATTTCCAGCTGCCCTTCGATTCCGCAAGCCTGACAAGGGCTCACAGCCCAAGCTGGAAAAGGACCCTACCCTTAAACGTTGAAACCGGCCAGGCCGCAGCGCACATGTATGCAGCGTGCGTGTGTGCGACAGGGGAATAGCTTGGCTCGTCTGCGGATTGGTCATTGCAGATACCAGCATCAGCCCGGTGATTGCGATCCCCGCCACGGCCACGTGATCCTGAAGGATGTGCAACATAGAGACAAAACACACAAAATCCTCGAGGCAGCTCTTTCAGCTGCCAACGCTGGCTGCATGCACCGAGTGCCCGTGCAGGCTGTGCTGTGCAGGTCACCAGCGGCTAGAGCGCGCCTGATTACGATCGCGCGTGATGGCATTTCAAGCTAGCGAGGCCCTTGCAACAGTGTCGTCCAGCCGATGAGTTTGAGAATGACACGGCCAGTGTGCTTCTATGCAGGCATGCGCACGCACGCGCACACAGACAGCGTAGACTAGCGCTCTGTCCAGGTGTCTCGTGAAGTTGGCTCTACACTTCGCCCGCGTTGTTTCCGTTGCAGCCCCCCAAGTTTGCAGAGTTCGCCCAACATCATCATTGGAAAAGAAGACGGATTCACAACGAGCAGCCACGTCGAACTGCTAATCTGTTGTTTTGACTGCCTTGATCCAGCTTGTTCGTTTCCATACGACATCCATCAATTCCGTGGAATCGGAGTGCCACAGTTTTTTTGGCAGGACCGCGATGACCGACGAAGAGGTGGAGACTCATTTGGCGGAGGTGGCTTTGGCTTTGGTCCGACGCTTTATTACGGCCCGTCGTTGCTTGGCAGCAGCAGCTTCGTTGTGCACCTTTAGGCTTGGACAGGTTGGTGAGGTGTGTCAAGCCCGAAGCCGCGAAGCGCTTCATTCTGCCCTGGTTCCAGCCAAAATGAGGATTCTAGGGGAAGGTGTTTGTAGAGGCCTGTTGGCTAAGACCCCGTAGTTAAGGCTCCGGGGACAGCTAGGAAACCAACAGGGAGAAAGCTCAGAGACTGAGACCTTTGAAATTGAGTCTATGTTCTTGAGTTGAAAACCAGATTGATGGGGAGCTAAATGAAAGCCACCGAACATGATGTGGCCATTTTGGCTATGAAGCCCCAATGGATTGGGGGGCAATTTCAAAGTGCCCACCCAACCCACCCTGGGGGGGTCCGATCTACCAAAGGTGGATCGGCCTCCGAGCTACGACGTGGGATCAGTCCACCTCCTGATATTGAGTGAGAAGAGCTAGTGTACTTTTCTGGGGACATTGCGCCATAATCTCACTCCAGGAACTAGTTCAGGCGACGCAGGATTTGCAGATCATCGTGGAAGTTGAGATTGCAGGTAACTTGCCTGGGTTATAAAAAAGGTAACTTGCGAAAAAAAGGGCCGCGTTTGGTGAAGGTATGTGCAGGTTCATGGTAAACAGACGGAGACCTTTCAATCTGCATCAACGTCTACCAAACAGAATCAGTGGTTACAGATTTGGAAAGCTTGTGTCAAGAGCAGTCAGTGGGCGTGATTCGCGTGACAGACTGAAGTTGAAAAATCGCCTGTTCCGCACAAGCCTTGCAATGTCTGGGCTAGGTGCTCAGCAGGATCTTGCGGTGCGATGTTTGTAAGCGTACTGGGTTTGGTGCGTGCAGCCGGCTTGTCTGGGACTGATCTTCTTGCTATGGCCCCGGTACACGTGACATCTGTGACATGCTTGCTCAGTACTGCTTGTTCCGTGGTGTGTGATGTGGGTTTATGAACCCAGAGAGCTCCAACGGGTTCATAGGCAGACCTTCCCTTTGCCACAGACACGTGGATCGCGCATATCGAATTCGTATTCGTTAGCCGGCCAGATCCCTCTTCGCTTCCAAGGCTGTAGGTGTTGTGGAAATCAGATAAGTAGGTCTGTCAACTGGGATCACAAGGAGAAGGCTCTGCTTCACAGTCCACAGTGGACCCTCTCCCAGCGACCCGGTGCCGAGATATCTTCAGGAAACTGGACTCTGCGCTAGGAGGGGCGTCATCTAGAAGTTCACGTCAACCAGCCACACTGTTCTCCGGCCGAAGTGAGGATGCCTGTCTGGCATCCTGAGGAGCTTGTCAAGCTCGAGCTTTGGAGCTGGAGGCATTTAAGTGAACCTAGTTTCATGACAGGGTTAGTCTCTGAATGAGGGTCCTGCCCGGACATATTCAATGTTCTTTGTGAACCAAACCAACATAAACCAACCGATGCCGTCAGGGCATGAGAAAAAAAACGAGAGCGATGTGTGGCTGGTCACGTTGCCAGATGACTCGGTTATGCGTTCAGCCATGCGACCAGCAGCTGTAATGTGGTGGGCGCCGCTTCAGGCCTTTCGACGTTATATTTTACAGACCATATTACTCGTATGGTGGCGTCTACGATGAGCGCCTTGGTGAGCAGGTAGCTTGCCGTTTGAGATCCTCATCGCAAGCCCTCTAATTCTCTTGCAGTTGGCAGCCTCGAAATTCACCGCCGAAAATGGGCTTCCTCGAATCCGTGTACAGCATCTTGGCTGTCAGTAATTTGATGCAAGATGCTTCATGCAAATTTTGTCTCAACACCAGGCTTCGTCTTTGGCGATGGGGATCCGAATTCTGGCCGCTGCTAGCTGAAACAGCTTGTTCGAGAACGGCATGTTGGCGCATTTTGGCACATTGCCCCAACTTTACCACTGAGGCTTGGATCGACAACTTGCGGCT